TCCTGCATAATTCATTACTATTCAAGGTTTAATCACTTCATTTCAAACAAAGTCGAAGATTTTAAACAAGAAATGCATTTGGATTTTAATTGCAGCTGTTTACTCTTAGAGTTTATAATAAATAAGCATTCAAAAACCGTTAGATTTGTTTTTAAAACTGCATGTTAAAACGCTTAAGCATGAGCCAAAAAAAAAAAAAAATCAATTGATGTTCTTGAATTCGGGAAATTATTCTAGGGCAGAATATAACCAGAGAGAATTTAAAACGTTGGAGCAGATCTTCAATCAGAATTCCCACAGAAATCAATTTATGAGTTTTATGAATTTATTTACTATTTATTTATTTCTTAATTTTTAATTTATGCTTTTATTTCTATTTATTTTATTTTTAATCTAAAGAAGTGTTAGCCCAGAAGATCTATTAGTCTTGAAAATGTATTTTGCGTCAAATCACTATAAACGGCTGCATCACTTTTCAACTTGTTTGCACCGAATGTTATCGCTCTGTATTACATTAAAAAAAAAATAATGAAGAATTTGCATAAATATTTATGTATGTTTCTCGCGTTGTAAGAAAACAATACTTAGAGCCATCAAATTTTGAATAACGTTGTCCTTCACTCAAACATAAGCATCTGGAAGCCTGAATTTGGAATTTGTTTTATTAGTTATTTCATATTTTGTAACACTTTAACGGATTTTGATTAACAAATTCAACGATTTCTAAGCGAGCAATGGCAAAACTGTACGGGAAAAAAATTATCTCCACCGTGCGAGACTGTTTATCGGAAATATCTTGATGAATGAAGCAAACTGTAATGTATTTTTTTAATTTTATATTACTAGTCGATTGTGTCTAAAATAGTTATTGTAAAATATATATATACTAGCAGCTTCGCTGCCAGTATATATATATTTTAAGTGAAGATATATATATAAGTATATATATAAGTATATATATATATTTATATATATACTTATATATAAGTTTATATTATATATACTTATATATAAGTATATATATACTTAAATATATATAAGTATATATATTTTAAGTGAATATTTTAAGTAAAGCCAGAAGAAGGCTAGCAGCTTCGCTGCCAGCCTTCTTCTGACTTTTAAATGCACCGGAAAAATGGCTGAAGGGAACACCAAACGTTAAATTTAAAAACTGCGTAGAATTTTACTCTGCAGAACAACTTCATAAGAAAAAGTTATTACGTATAACAAAATTACAATGAAATAAGCAATATCCCTTAATACAAATATTAGTCATCCTAGTAAATAAATTAACCAACTTCCCTTTGCAAAATCTTAAGAACTCAAATGGTATAAAGGAGGTTAAGAACTTTGTTACCCCAAAAAATCACTCAAAACTTTTCAATATCTTAAAGACAGTGAAATGAGCAATAAATAACATAAAAGAATACAAAAAAACAAAAAATTCTGAAAAGCAAAGTATAATTAATGATATTTTATCTTATATTTTCAAGAGAAAAAAATTACAATGAAATAAGCTATATCTCTTAATACAAATATTAATTATCCTAATAAAAAAACTAATCAACTTTCCGTTGAAGAAAAAAAATCATGCAAAACTTTTCAATATCTTACAAATAGTAAAATAAGCAAAAAAATAACATGAAAGAAACTCAAAAAACAAAACATTCCGGGCAGAATTTTACTCTGAAAAATAACTTTATCAAAAAAAAAATCAATAAAAATGTATTATATATATAAAAAAATGACAAAGAAATAGGCCAATCTCTTAAAAACAGTGTCGTAAGAAATACGATGAAAAATTGTTGTCAAACCCATATTTCTAAAAGAATGAAACTATTCAAAATGATGCGATTTCATCAAAAATCTATCAACAACAATAAGAAAGGAAAATTGTTGCCAAAATCACAAAGATGTGAGATGTGAGAAGTGTACTCGGAAGCTTCACTTAAAATTTTTTTAAAAAATACAAAATATTATCATTTTCCCAAAATTCGTTTTGTAAAAGCAGTAGCAAGGATGAAAGTTTAAAGTGTCCAAAAATCAAAGAAAAATAAACTGTACAGTTTTTAAAATAAACTTTTTTAGAAAAAATCCCGTTGAAAAGGTGTTAAGCTCACTTTGTTAAATCAATTCGTATTTAATCGATTTATTGAAACACGAAATTTATTTTAAGTTCGTAAAATAGCTAAGTGCCTACGTTTCATGACGATGTGAAAGTGAAGTGTGTAGAGTAAAATCTCGCTTTCCTATAGCCCATTATGTCTCAAAATGACGCGATTTCGTCACAAAACATAAAATAAAAAAATTTCTAATTCGAATTTCGGAATCGCTTCGAGGGGCACTGGCTCTTGTCTAGATGCGCCTATGTACCAAATTTCGTAGCCGTGGGTCTATTAGCTTACGCTCAGCGCAAACGAAAGACACTCAGACTGACACACAGACAGACTCTTTCTTTTATTATATGTAGAGATATATAATTATTTTACTAAATCTAGCTAATGCAACTTCAGATTCCAGATAGTGAATAATAATAAATAAAATGAATCTGCATTTATTTGTTTTAATTCGCTTAGTTTATTTATTAATTACAGAAAAAATGAGGAAGAAAAATTTAAATCTATTGCATCACATCCTTTGCTGAACACATCTATTAAATTACTGGATTTGTTGGTTAAATTCGAAAGAGAAATAAATTACATGTTGCTGAAGGGCAACACACTTTTATATTCCTGATTTTTCTGATTAAATATAAATCATAAATAGGGCCACCGCGTCGGTATTAAGCGCTCCTGTTCAAATTGAAATTTGGCGCCCCTTTATGGAGTTCTGTTGCACACTTATAAAGTGCTACAAATTATATGTGAAATACTCTTTTATAGTATTCAAAATTTGACTTTCGAATTGAAAAGCTTAAAAATTATAATAGTAATTAATACACGTTTGTCTTATTGTTTTTTTATTATTTCATAAATTGTAATATTAACACAAGTTTGTCATATTGTTTCATAAATTTTAAAAACAAAACAATGTTTTAAAATTTTTGTCATTCCAGTTTTTTAAATTAGGTATATAGTGTATTAAATTGAAGTAACTGTAAAGTTCTCTTAATTGACTGAATCTTTCAGTAATTTAAGAAATAACAGTGCCTAATATTATATTGTAAAATTCAACCTTAAATTTTTGTCTTGATTGGTTCGTTGGTTTGTTCATCTTGAAATAGTTTCTTTTTAAACCTGTTTCGACTTTGTGGAAAATCAGTATCCACCCCCAAATCATCAGCAATGATACTTGCATTGGCAATTGCATGTTCATACGCTTCATCTGATCTACGATTATTTAGTTCTGATATAAGATTTTGTATATTATCAGTCACGATTTGTAAATCACATTTAGAATTTTGCGTTATTTCATTTACCACAGTTACTAAATTTAAAATATCGTGCCAGATGTTAATGGAACAAATGAATTTAAACGAGGAAACCTTCTGAATCAAATTTTTTGCTTGAGTTCTTGATTCCATGTCTCTTGTTTGATCTTGAATATTTATTAACGCTCTGAAAATTCCCTTCAAATCGTTTTTCAGTGGTCTTAAAGCTTGAGTTCTACTTTCCCAACTGGTATTTGGAGAGTGGCTTTAAAGTTAGATTTTCAACATACTGTTTCAAAATAGACCAACGTTTAACGGATGAAGAAAAGCAGTTGTAAAGCTCCTGCACTACTCCGAAAAAATTAACTGTTTCGAAGGAAATTTTAGCTGCATCATTTACAACTAAGTTTAGAGAATGGGCAGAGTAGGGATTATAGAGTGCCCTTGAATTATTGTCAATAAATGCAAAACATGCAAAAATACCAAGAAAGAAAACTATTAACCTCACAAAACAAAGAAAAAATAGAAAATAGAAAAATACACGTGCCCTTAAAGAGATGAAAATATATTTAATTTGAGAATACAATAATAATTTTGAATGGCGACATTTGGTTGCCACATTTAAAAAATGTATGTATATTATCATTAAAAAAAAAAAAAAAAAAAAAAAAAAGCAAACTAAACAACGACGTTGATCCGCAACAGCTTCTCAGCACATAAATACATGCCGATACAAAACATTCCCAATTCCTGTTTTTACATGTTACAAATTCTTAGATTTTTAACACGTTCCGTGTGGTAGCGCGAACTCCACACAGAACGTGTTTTTATTGTTCGTATCGGCAATCAAATTTTGTTTTACACAAACAACCCCCAGAAACAAAAACAAAAGTAAAATAAAATAAAAATATAAAATAAAAATAAAAATAAAATCTCATTTTATTGCTTAGAAAATATAAAACATGCAAAATTGCAAGCGTATAATTAACAACTTTTACTTAAATAGCACTTAAATTAAAAAACTAGAAGTACTATAAATTTTGGCGCCACCCTGGCCAAGGCGCCCTTGTGCGGTGAACAATTTTGCCACCCCCACGCAGCAGCCCTGATCATAAATATCTTACGCTTTCCAGAGTGGCAACACAAAGGTTTTATATCGCAGAGTTCTTAGTCAAAAAATAAAACAAAAGTTTGTTAAATTCGCACAAAATATGAAATAAATAAAAAGAGATTTCGAAATTCAAAATTCGAATTCTGAGGTGCACATGTTTGGGTGCACCTCGGAATGTGTGTGTTTAAATATACCTCTGTTTTTTCACAGTGCGAGATACACACATACAGCTTCTTTATTACTTAATATTAGAGAGAGAGATTAAAAAAATAACAAATTGCAATAACTCTGCGATTTAACTGTGTACGCACGAGCTTTTCATTTTTAAAATAAATAAATGCCAGTCAAGTTATTAAATGAAAAACCCACCGTGAATTAAAAAACAAGGCTTTTTTGTTTCATTGCCTTTATTTCTTTCTCAACTTGCTCTCTAGCCCGGCCACCTTATTAAAACCAAAACAATTTTGGAAGATTCTGTTCAGAATGGCAACGAGTTACATTTAGTTACCTAGGCGACGACGTATGTGTTTGTTTTATGAAACTGATACCATGAAAGTTAGGTAAATTTCTGGAGGATATTCAGCTGATTTCTGCTCCCATATGGCGATATTAACAACCAAATTTTTCATCGACTAAATAGCAAGATAATAAAATCATATTTAAGTGGATAGTTAGGCTTTCGCTAATGCTTATCAATGGCTGTAGTGAGGATGGATAACTGCCCTCGCATGGAGACGATGCAGACCGAAACATATGATAGGGAACGCGAATGTGACCTACGTAATTTTGACAATTCGAATCTCAGAACTTCAGATGTATACAGGACGGAAAATTTGCCATTCCGGTTTGATTATCCTTCGAAGTGGAATTATGGGAATTGCGTTTTTACACCCAGTGAAGGAGTTATTAAGAAGTATATCCAAAAACCCTTTGGTCAAAGCTACAAATGCAGTCAAGCTGAATCAAGAATGTCACATCCGCTGTTTCGAACAACGAATTCTGAGTATGGCTCCAAACCCCCTTGTGTCCATACCATGCCGCATACATTTTACCCCAGGAATCATAAGTATTGGGAGAATTTGGCGAGCGTCGGTATGTACCGCAACCGTGGTTTTAATACAGCTGTCGACAAAAGCACAATTTAATATCAATTGCTGAGAAAAATTAAATTGGTAATAAAAAGAAACTAATGACTGATGCTGCTTGAATTAAATTTATAGTTGTCTTGTAGATATGGAATGCTTTCTTTGTTTTTTAAAAATAATTCTTTAATTGCAGCACAATAAAAATACGCAAATATTATAATATTAAGTGATGAAATATTATGTTAATTCTGCGTTTTTTAATAAAAATTTAATCCATTTTAATATAATAGCTAGAGATTTTAGATATGCAATAGCTAGAGATTTTAAATATGCAACTACATAATATATGTAACTTTGATTTTTAAAAATTAAAATCTGTATTTCACTTAAACTCAGCCAGATGTCTTAAAGCCGATTAAATTTATGTATGAAATTATATACTTCTTGCGCCTAAAGAGAGGAAAAAGTAATATAGCTAACAACGAGGAAGCTATATACTTATTTTGTAGTTTTGATTATATTTAATTAAATAATTTGCTTATCAACTTTATTTTCTAATTTTTAATTCTCAGAACAGTATCTGGGGGATTGGAGAGAGAAGGAAATAAAAGAAAAAAGCTTATGTATGTTTATAATTGAGATTTTTTTCAATTACTTTCAATTACTTTTTCAATTACTTTCAATTACTTTCAATAATTTCAAAATGCATAATAAATTTCCCTTTGTGGACTTACATGTTAGATACATTGTATTCTGTGAAGTAAAACCTCTCAAAGAACAAGTTCTGAATATCAGTAACATTTCTTGCCTTAGAAACTAAGTAGTAAATATATTACATTTCAGTTAAACAGGAATATAATATTAAAATGGAAACAAACTGTGGTTGAAATCAAAACAAGATAATATTATGTCGAAAAATATCATGCCATTATTTTCGCGTTCCATTCACCTTTATATAATAACGTTAATGATGTAACAGTAGTCCAGAACAATGCATCAAACTGTTTAAATTCTAATTTAAAAAGGCATTATTCTTCAAGCATTTATCTTTATTTTTTAACTGAAAAGACTGAGATGAAATAGAGGTGAATTTTTAAATTAAAATGGTTTTTACATGTAAATGTATTAAATATATTATAGATTCGTTATCAAATGAAATATTGTATAAAGAGACATAAATATACTATAGAGCTGCAAAATATATTGTTACTATTTAATAAGGTTTTTGTATAACATAATCAATTGTATGTTATACACATCCATTTTTATTTATTATTGGAGCAAAGTAACACAAAGTAAAATGTAAATCCACCGATATATAAAGAACTCTGTATTGGACTCTGTAAAGTACCGTTAGCCTGTACAATATTATTATATTGAAAAATCTGCATGTGTATTCGTCGCTTCATGGGAAAACGGTGGCACCACATTTTGTACATATGCACCTCGAAGCCTAAATTTTGAATTTTTTATTTATTTATTTATTTTAAGTTTTGTGAAAACTTAATAGTCTTTTGATTAACAAACTGAACATTTTCAAAACAGTGTATTGCCACCGCTCAACAAAATACATTTATCAACAAGACGCCACTCTGTTGACATTCAGCAAAACGTCTCTCAAATTTAATGTTATTAATTAAAAAAATAAGCGCTTTAAAAGCAATAAATGCAGCTCTTAATAATCTATATGTATATATTTTTAAGTTTATTCTACTTCAATCCTGCAGTTTTAGCGCAGGACGGGTTTTAAAAAAATTTATTCCAATTTTTTAATTCGAATTTTTAGCTTATTTATATATTTCTTTTTATATTTTACTTTTTAATGATACATCTTATTGATTTAAATGAAAGATGCGTTTCATTCAGGATGCATTTTCATGATATATCATTAATATTTTTTATTAACAGTTGCAATTTTCTTCTAATTTACAAAAGATTTTTCCAGCACCATACTGTACGTAGCTGATACAGAATTTTTAAAATTATTTTTACAGTCTTTCACCTTTTTTTAAAAAATCAAATCCTTCTTTTAGGTGTTGTATTGTAATCTGAAGACCTTTAGACACAATTATTTGCTCTTTTTTCAATAACTATCAGTCGCCTGCAAAGGTCAACTTTCGGTTTAGCATGCATAAAACGTCAGACAAAACACATACTAGACAAAAGCTGGCAAGCGATTAGTTTATAATAAATTAGCTAGCATATTCTCTCAACATTTCAAAACAAAACGTTATTGAAAAGACTGAAAATTTAATATATTCGGCCATGTATTTGTTCTTCTGTATTTTATTTTATTGGTCTCGAAACACAGTTTTGCGTTGTTTCACTTTTCATTCGAATCTGTTCCATTCGGCAAAATGTAAAATGATCTCTCAAATTTAACCTGTCTAAGTTGTTTAAAAGCAATAGATGCAGTTTTTAAGAATATTATGTTTTTTACTTTTTAATCTTATTGATTTAAATAAAAATGCATTTAATTCATGATCTATCTAATCAAATATATTTATGGAATTACGTTACATATTTTTCACTTTGCTAATATATGGAAGATATACAACGTTTCAATGTCAGCCTAAGTGTATATTCATCTAGTATCCTATAAAATATTTCGCTGTTCCCCACAAGCCATCTCTATTGATTATCTTTACTAATAAACCATATGAAACGTTTGAAATCCCTTTTGGGCGACCATTAAAATCTGAAACCTTTCACAATTATGCTATTTTTATTTTTTTCATTATTAAGTCGCATCTCTGTTAAAGGTATTACAGGACACATAGGCGTTAACCAGATGAAGTTGAAAAATGCAACACTGAATGAAAAATGGCTCCCAGTTATTTAAGATATAGCACAAAAAATAATATCTTTGCTGTACGTTCCCTTCTTACATTATATGTAAAATTATAACATCTTAATAATCATTAAGTATCAGTGATATGCGGAAATTTTTACATATACATGTTTTACATCTCTGACATTATGAAATATACTTCTTCATCCAAAAACAGGTGAACCAAATTTTATGCACATTTTCGTTATCTGGATTTTAATATATTGGAAATAATTGGATTTCCCTGGAATCAGTGATATGAGTAACTTCGAACTTAGCTAATCGAATAGTTTGACTGGAATATTTATTTTGTGAATGATTACTTTTAAAATTACTGCAAGCTGCCAATCTCAGCAGTGTTATAATGCAGGGGTTTTCATTCTGAAATGTACTGAATATTTATCAAAAGTTAAATCCTGTAACTCTAATGAAATTTGTGCTATTTTAAGTACACCGCTATAGTGTGCTAGGTCATAACACATATTTGTTTTACTGGAAGAGAAGTAATTCACTTAGCAAAATAATCAGTGGTCATCTTCACAACATAACAAAGTTTTATATTTAACAAGAACAGGTTGCAAGAATAGACAGACAAAGTAGACAGATGTCTTGTTTTGCTCCTGCAGTCACACTATACAGGTACGGTTATAGTTACATACATATAGTTTCTTTACAGTTAAAGTTACAATCATAGGTATATGAAGTAGTGCATTTAAATGAACATTTAGAAAGTGAATAAGAGTTCAAAAGTCCAGTTACGGTTAAACCGCCACAAATTTTAGAATATAATGCAAGGTGTGTCTCGTAACATATCACATCTACTATTGTTGCTCCCAGAAGCATTAAATATCAAAGCTGTTTAGAGCATAATTTTTCACAGACACAAATGATACAAAATTTTCAAGAAAATTTGCAAATGGCAAGGTGTTAAAGGAATATTTAAATAATTCAAAATTATAATTATAATTTATTTTTAAACTACTTCCAAATTTTCTTTATATAGTTGATCGTCAAGGAGAGGAAATCATTATTAATAGCTGCAGAGAGAAGCTGTTGGATATTTTTATTGCCACTAAAGTTAAATAAATTAAGCCGCTTATAATGCTCTAATAAAAATTATATCAGCTCTGGTATGTTTCGAAGGGGTGGCATGACTTAGTTAGTTAAAGCACCAGCCTCGAAAGCAGAAAATTACGAGTTCGAATTTCGCCGGTCCGGGAGTTGTGTTCGTGTGCAGTCGTCATCCAATAACTACTACTCACATTTCCTGTTCGACGGGAGACTCAGCTCTGGAAATATGATGTTCACCTGTTATCTGCTTCATTTTTAGTTGAAAAAGGGGTCGGAGCCACATTTTATTAATTTTTTCTTCCTGCATTTCCTTAACTTTGAAGCTTCTTTTATGGTTCCAGACGAATGATACTTTTATGGTTCCATATGAATAATGATTTTACGCCAGCAAAAAATCTTTTACCTACCGATCAACAACGTCATGTGAATCTTTCTGTACATACATTGAGTAGCAAAATCTGCTTAGTTCGGTCCCCTTCTGCCTGTTTTTACAGATACTGTTTTTACATTTTCAAGAATTACTATTTTTGAATTACTCTGTAGAAATTATTACAGGCAGAAACTGAAAGGGGAGGAAATATATCGAATAATAATAAAAAAAAAGAAAAAAAAAAAAAAAAAAAAAAAAAAAAAAAAAAAAAGAAAAGAAAAAGAATTTTAGTGAATCAACGTAGAAAAAGCACTATATACAGATATGCATTTAAGTATGCTTAACAAAGTAAAATGAAACTCCTCTCCAAATACATGCAGCACTTTTTTAAACAAATATTTTTAGGCTGTCTTTTAGTTTGTGCATATCCTTGTACATTTTCCGTACATGACGATAAATACTAACATTTTGCAGCTTATCTTGCTGTTTTCAATAAATTAAAATATGTGTTTCGAAATTTTCTAAACATTGGCAATAATGTAGCAATGTTGAAAATGAGTAGATCGTTGAGTTGCGAAGCTAGATTATTAGCGCCATCTAGGAGAAGAAACATTGATAATAGTAACGGCATTTCGTTTAACAGGAAAATAAATTTGTAAGAAAATTTTAGTATAGTGATATAAATGGTAATTAATTTTTAAAGCATTCTATGGTTAATATATGCAGATAACATAGACTGCCAATATTAGAGCATAATCTAATTTCAGTTTTCCAAGCTTAACTCTTTATTAGTTAATTATCAATGTTTTAAATTAACAAGCTGTATCACGGAATGAAAAAATAAAGCTCAATATGTCTAAACTAATGAATATTTTA